AAGCCGCTTGCGCTTGCGTGTGTCGCAGCGCCGCACGGTGCCATGATCGTGTTGAACCGAGCTGCAGGGTCTCGACGCGATGAGATGATGAAACGAAAGGAATCGACGGCCGCAGAGGAAAGCTAGCTATGCCGCATATGAATGTTTCTTTTCATTTACTTATCCATCTCGTTCCACTTCCATGTTGTGTATATACATGATCCTCCTTAGTTGTCCCAGCAGGGCAACCCGGGGTAAATATCCAGGATGGAATTTGTTTTGGTGATGCCCATGCCATGCTGCCATGCCAGGAAATGGTCGTGATGGAGGCCTGCAACGGTGGGAAGAGGTCGAAGATACTCGATCCACGCGTCGATGTCCTCGTGGAGGCTGAGAGAGAAAGAGTTGGTTGTAGAGGAACATGGCTCGAAGTCAAGACGTCACACTGTGCCAGTTCCACAATTTTTGAGGGAGTTGGTCTGGTTTGTTTTTGTGTCAAGCATTGCTGAGCAGGGGGATGTTTTTGCCCTGTGGTTGGGAGATGAGCCCAGTGGTTTTAGTGCGAGCTAAGCGGTTGTCTTCGGAGAAGCCTTCCTGAACATTAGCTGATTTGCAAGATGGCTGGACCTAGTCACACAAGAGAATGGCAAACAGTTTATCACCCTGCCAAAAGGAGCATAGTGTGCAAGTCGAATCCTGTGTCATTTGTCGTGCCGTATACATGATGTTGATGTTAATAGTATGTTCGTGATGTTAGATCTCGAGAGTGGAAGTTGCAAAAAAAATCTTAATCATGTCATGATGACCACATGAACCAAACAAAGGGTTCTCAAAGCTGCAACTTCTGACCCACAGCCCATCTGGGTGGTGGTTTCAGAATGTTTCAGATATTTAATATTTGTTTATGCTCAACCTTTACTTGGGATGATGGTCCCTTTCAAGTGACTTGAAATCACCAACCAGCCATGTTGTTCCTTTGAAGCCATCTTTGGGTTGCTATGTTTCCACCACGCAGCTTGATCGCCGCGGGCGTCTCGACCCGAGCCGATCGCCTGTTCAGGCTCCACGAGCCGAGACTCCCTTGGAGGAGACGCGATAGACGCGCGCGATTCCGCGCGATTCCGCGGCGCACATGGAACGGTGAAATCCCAGATGGAACAAGATGGAGAAGATGGAAGATCCTTTTTTTTTTGGGGGGGACTATATATAGATGGCTTGGCTATGCTTGGCTATTGGAAGTCTAGCGAAGGTGGCGTCTGGACATCCTGTATAGCGAAAGAAGAGCCGCGCATGCTTCAAATTTGGATGTTGTCATTTCACGTGGTTGTCAGTATAGGCGGATTGATGCAGATCATCATTTCCTGTCGTGTTCCATTTGCCAACAGCCAGCTTTTGCAGGGAGACCACTGGCACTAAGATCCTCCATTCGGGTTCAAGTTTGAAGAAGCGTGCAGGAGTCAGATGACGGTATAAGATCCTGCCATTATTTTGTATCTTGGTTCTGGCAAGGGCCCATGTTGGTTTGGAATGTAGGAGCTAAATCGGCAGTCCAGAAGCAGAGAGTGGTTCAAGCTTGACAAGCAAGCTTCAGCAACAAGAAATAAAGACCATACTGTATGTTGTTCCTTTGATTTATACGTATATATATATATATATGTGTGTGGGACCTTTGCCGGCTGGACCCCCAGTAGCTAAGTAATCCAGGAGAGCCTACCGAAAGACCTACATTTGGATACAGGCGCTGGACTCGCGCCGTGTTATGTGGGAGTTGTTGGTTTCGCAGGGGGGTGGACAGACCAGAAGACCCTAAGGGAAGAGGTGTTTGGACCATTTTGGACCTTGTTTGGGAGATCAATAGACAACCTTCAATCTACTATGCCAACAATTGGCACCCCTCTGGATCTCCAGGTAGATATCTTGTTGAATTGACCTACTAGTAGGCCAGAGTTTCCATCGCAGCCTTTGCAGCCAACACCGGACTCACAAAGTCGTGCCTCACCGCGGAGTGTGATTAGTGACCAAGGTCTTCTTGCATTGCCCCGTATTCTTGGAGATTGACATGGATAGTTTACATGCAGACACTATTGAATTCTTATGCAGCTCTTGTTGGGTAGTAATTCTGCAGATTTGCTGCACTCGCGCAGGCACCGGGAGCTATTGCGGGAGCAGTGTTTGCAGTTCGCCGGCTGTGGGAAGAAAGACAGATGGGCAGTTCAGATGGGGAACAGCTCCAGATGGAGGGTGGGTCACAAGGAGCTTCGCCCAGAACCCGAGGATCAATGAACATATATATGAACGTCCATAGACTCAATTAGACCCATATCTTGGACGCCAAGTGGGTGGCAGACTTAGAGATGTCGGGCATCGTACCAAGCCTTCTTGCACCGAGTGGGTGGCATCAAGTGGGTAATCAAGAGCACGAGCGTGAGTGGTAGAAATGCTGATGCCAACTGTCCCCACTTTTGTGCCAACCCACTACAACAGCAGTACCTGGTTTTGCTTCAGGTGATTTGTTGTTTTCCGGAACTGGATAAATCCCGAAACCTGGGGAATAGGTGCTTTTTTGTTCCCGGTTCCTAAACAACAAATCCAAGAGTACCATTGGTAGCTATATTGCTACTACCATACCGAAACACTCCATGGGACTGTCATGATAATATATTATGTTGCTGAGAAAAACAACAACTCCTAACCATTGTAACTTGCAATAAGAAGAACCTTTGGTTTAGAGTTCATGATGGTTCATGGTGATGTTTCAAGTTGTCATATGAGTCAGAAGACAAAACAACACACACACAAACACGAAAATATACATCAAAAACAAACGCAACTATGTTCCATGTTTGATAGTTTTTTAACGTGTTTTTTCTGCCAACACCCCATGTCTCATGTTTGTTTTGGTTGCGACTTCTTTCCACTGCTTGTTGCGCTCGGTTTCAGTGTGGATGTCTCAGCTTCAGGGCCGGACGGGAAAATCAAGGCCCCGGAGTTCGGATGGAGCATAAGTTTTCCGAAGATTCTACCACCGCCGGTGGTGGTGCCATCCACGCAACCACCTTTATGATTTCAGGGAGTAAGTATCCTGATTAGCCTCACCAAGCATGATTCACGTACACCTTGACTCCGAGACCCACATGGAGCCGGAAGTTGACGGACTCCGAATACCAACCCGAACGTGGCGGAACCAGGGCATAACTATCCTGATTATTTCAGAGCTTGGAGGCCATTGCTAGGTTGGAGGCCATTGCTATTAGTTGCTGATTCTTTCAGAGCTCAAGATAGCTCACCAACCCCCATCCCAGGCTACAGCAGCTCGGACGAAGCTGAAGGCTCCGAAGGCTCCGAAGGCAACGAGTCAGAACTCTGGGCCCAAGGGGGTTTGACCGAAGAACCATTGTTTTGCTAAGGAGTTGAAACGATCAAATCAGCTTATATCATAGCCTTCGTTTGAATAGTCTTGGAAGGCTATTGGGTTGGAGTGATTTTTTGTTTGGGGAGGGCTTGGCTGAGCAACACGTTTCTTTATTTTTTCAAAAGCAGCGGAGAATACCAGACCCCCCAATAGGGTATTAATTTATAGCCCCTTGGAGGTTAAGGGGTGTCCATTAACCACCCTTTGTGAGTCCTGGTATGTTTCTTCTTTAATTCAAGTTGGCTTTGCCTGGTCGAAGACGATGAAACTGATTCCCCAATGACTGAGGGAGCCCCCGGCTCGTCCGATCTTCCACAGTAGGTGGGGCTTCTCGGGCAAGGCCGCTCCCGTTATGCAAGACGGAGCCAGTTGGTCTTTTTGTATGATCACGACCTGGCTGTCTCACATGCCAGCATATTGTTTTGCCAGTCTGATGGGCAGCATCATGACATGTACAGGCTGGGTTTTTTCCGAACTCGATCTCTATGTCAGTCCTGTTCATAGAAACAGATGAAACAGATGGTTGAGGCGCTCGCCTTTGGCGTTCAGAGACCCGTTCGCTGGCAGGCGAGGCCGCTGCTTCACCGGATCCTGCAGAGCTGCCTGGGTGGGTGAACCCCAGAGCAGCTGGAGAACTAGGGATCAACAAAAAACGGGTCAGAAAGCATTGTTAGTTTTGCTGCCAAAAGTATCCATGTTTAACTGATATGTGATATGATCCTATTTTAGGTGGTTTACTTTGTGCTTGTCAAACAGATGAGGCCAAGTCTTTCAAACCCATGAAGATCCAAAGTCTGGTTCTCTGAGTTTGACAACATGGTGAGGGTCGACAGGTCATGACGGGTCATGACAGGTTGAAGAACATCCCATCCAAAAGCATTCAACTTTTATATGAGCATTGGTTGACTTATTTATATTTAGTTACGGCATGACCCTAGAACCTATGCTGAGGGCTTTGTTTCTGTGGAAAACGATATGGTCCCCACCAACAACGATAATCTTGTTAAGATATAGTGGGTACAAAGACGTATGTGGTTACAATATGGCATTTGTTTATTTGAGCTAAACTGATGGACACAACACAACTGTTCATCAAGGATACTCTCAGACAACTTCCCAAACGATAATCCAAACGATAAGCAAACGATAACCTAAATGTCACGCCACGCACTCCGTAAACCTACTTCTCCACATTACTAGTGTTTGTTCATGGGCCAAGCTACTAGGTCCCCGCTTATGTGTTGTGATCCTTGCACTGCCCAGTGCCACAAGAACCCAAGTGCATAAATCAAGTGCTGTGCCATTCCTGTGCAGAAAGCACTGTAACTCTAATCTGAGGTTGTGAGTTACTTTTTTGTGTTTTAGTCTATGCACCGGTAACATGATCGCCTCGATCTCCTATAACAGGATTGGACTCCAGACAATTCCCGTCAAATGTCCCGACGTGCGAGAAACATCATATCAAACTATGTGCCGGTATGCTATGCTAGCTACAGTTTGGAGAAACATTGGAGAACGAGATGGACCCCACCAAACACGATAATCATGTCAAATGGTATTTGGCTATACAAGTATGTTTGTCCGCTGCTCATATGGCGTGACATTGGGCCCAACTAGTATATGTTTGTCAACATTGTTTAGATATGTTTAGATTGCGATCTTTTCTGAAATCCGAATTGGTCCAACAAAGAGACCGGTGTGGTCTCCACAAATCGCTTTGCTGCTTTGCTGCAGCTGGTTCTTTCATGGTGGATTTGGGAGTTGGATGTTTTAACAACTCTTTGACCGACCTACGACCTATCCCAGCCACCTGCCGCGTTTCGCACAACAACTTTTGTGCACACATTTGTTGAACAACATCTAGCCGCCGCGTGGGACAGGGGTGGTGGCAGAACTGGTCCAGTCAGGATTTGTGTCAGATCGGCCAAACAAGTACTGGCGGTCCACCAGCAGGTAGTGACGCGAAGGCAGTGTGAGAAAAAGTGGAGGTGCTTAATAAAGTAGGTTGACGCCATCTCTAATAGGTTGGAGCATCTGTAGGTTGAGGCCATCTGCAGTAGGTGGGACCACCTACTAGGTTGGAGGCCATACGCAGTAGGTGGAGGCCATCTCTAGTAGGTTGCACCACTTGGCCAACCGCCGACCGACACGTCCGACCGACCCGTGACACGTCGCGGAGCCTCGCGGAGCCTGAGGACTCCGGAGCCCGAGTTGGTGCCGATGCCACGCTGGGTAGAGGCGATGCCACAAGGGACCGGACGACCGCGCTTGGACCTGACCGGGGATGGTGAGGATGAGTGTCCACTTGGGAGCCTCAGGTTGGGGGCCTTAGGATGGAAGAAGGATGGGTGTCCAGTTGCAGCTGCTGTTTTTGGTTGGTGGTCACTCGGGAGCCTCAAGTAGGGGATTTGGTCGGAGGCCACACTTAGGAGCCTCATAGGGTTTGCCAGTGTTGTCATGCTGACCTGACGACCTGGCTCCAGAAAATAGGAGTCCATGAACGAACATAACAGTCAGTCGTGTATACAATGTCGCAGTTGCATGGCGCGCCACGGTGTAGTGCCTCCCCCTCAGATGACCCGCAAGCGCTGAACTGTCTCGCCACGCAGCGGAGCGTACCTCAGGGCAGTCGGACGATCTCAACGCCGGACCTGGAAAGTCTGCCCGGGAGCTTGATGAAATGTGGAGCGTGGCCGATGAAACGAGGGTCGAACTGGTGGGAAAAACCGTGGTCCTTGATAGTTACAGTAGTTTTTTTGGAAGGGATGTAGACTTAGGCGTTGTTATGGTAGTAAAATAGTTGATGGTGAAAAAATACTGGGGAAAACCCCACCCCAGCCGCCACCACGACGACAGCCGCGGCAGCAGCAGCCACAGCAAGAGCCACTGCGGCGCTGCTGGCGGCACCGCCTGGCAGCCAAGATTCAAGAGAGATGGGACTTCGTTTCACAGGGTCTGTGGGAAGGGTGGATGTTGGAGCAGGTGCCCTTTCAAATCTCAGCACACCCATTTTCCATCATACTTCCATCAAATCATCACTGGCCCTTTGGCCACCCCATCGCATCCTGGATCCCCTCAACGATCTTGCTTACCAATGCCACCGGCCACGCGTTGCCACAAGCACCCATCAGCTTCCTCAACTGACATTCAATCAGTGGCCAATATTGGCAAATTGAACGTGACAAGCAACTTGAACTCAAAGCCAACCAAGTTTCGCAGAAGAGATGTCCATCTCTTTGGCGCACGCCGCCAAATCATCCGGCAGACCCATGAGCCGAAGGCACTCCTTAAGTTTTCAACATGCAAAATGAAAGACATCCAATAAATCACCTGTGGATGAACAAGAGGTGCGTTGGGCTTAAGCAAAATGACAAAATGAAGTGGCAGGCCAGGGAGCTACAGCATTCAAGGGACGCTCCAAACGGGTGAGCCAGAATCCACCTGAACTCGCCCTCGTCCTCGTGAGACATGGAGCAATGTCCCTTTTGGGCTTGCACTGGAACTTCACCGATGCACCAATGTCCACCAGCCTCAAGTAAGACACAATAGGAGATTGAAAGACAGTTGGTAGTCCCAAACAATTATTGTTCACAAGGTGGACTTCTTGTCATTGGTTGACCAACTAAGTTAAAGACCACACTTGCTTCTTAGGATCACCGCCCAGCTTGGCAATCCTCCGCTCACCAATCTTGAGCATTTTGGATGCATGCTTTGAAAGGGCACCTGAATCAAGCTAGGCACCTAAATTAAACTTGGGGCAAAGAATTCACAACAAGCCTGGATTTGCAATAAGAGTTTAGCCTGGAGACTGCGGGCATTCTTCTTTCCAAAGGTTCGACATAAGAGCGATCGAAATGAAGTTCGCTTGGATGAAAACTTTGGCCACTTGAATGACTTCCTTGATTCAACAGTTTTCAAAAAGATCTGTTGATCTGTTTGTTGACACCAAGTTTCTTCTTGTTCTTCTTCCTGAGCGCCACCAGAAACAATCGTCGGCGTGATTGGGCCATTCCAAAGTCCTGAGTTGAAAGTTGAACACAACAAGCAACTAATTAGTTCATGGTTTCACACCACAACCAAGAAACCCTTCTTAAAAGACCAGACTCAGCCGCATTGAGAATTGCAGGATGGATGTCATAGTATGGTGTACCATCAGCTTCTTTGATCCCCTTGAGCCTCAGACTAATAAAATGGTTCCTGAGGGGTTAGATACTTACTACCCATGCCAATGTTTAAAATTTAAGTCCAGGGACGTTGTGATCCACTTGTCATAGATGGACCTTTTCAGCTTCTTGTTGCGAACCACGTGTGGGACCTGCTCCACCAATGCTGCTTCTGGCCGCTTGGCCTTGATATAATCAAAGCATGCCACCATGCATCCTGTACGTGGGTCTTCCTTAGATGCTTAATTGGCATAATGGCACCAATCCCTGAACAACTTGTGAACACATCGTGCAAGGGTTCAAGCAAGATTCCAGACCTCGTTTTTTGCCAGCCACAGACACACCTTGACATGGCGGCCCTGCTCCATAGAGATGCACCCTGGGCATTTTGTTGACATTCCTTTTTGTAGCATCCTTGGTCAGTTAAAGCTCAGAACCAAAGTAAAGTGTTGAGGTGTCCCTGAAAAATACATGTTCCAAAGTTAAAATGTTGAACATCCCTGAATCCAAGAGTCACTGAACACAACCTTGGGGGAATGGACCCGTCCAGCCATCAGCCTCAAGGCATTGTCCTTCTCGCTCAAGAACTCCAAGCTGTACGGGATCTTAGATTTCCTCAGATGATGGGCAGTTGGTTGGGGTGTCATTTGAAACACTTCCATGATCATTATAGTTCAAGTTGAATGGCACCACCAAGCATCGTGAGAGCCCAGCTCAAACATTCTAATCCAGAAAAGTCTGATCCGATCTTGATTTTCATTGCCTGGCATGGCCGTGACACCCGCGCGGACTTGGTTGTTTCGTTTTCTTCATACACATCCGTGGTACTGCCTGGTGACATGCTATATGTTTATTAATTGTCCTTGCAAAAATGCTTCACACAAAGCAGTGGCCCATGAAGCCCATGAGGTCTTCACGACCTCCAGAGCCCCCACGCTGATTTGAACATAGACGGTGTCATCAATCCATAGTGCTGCTCAACCAGCATGGTACCACAAGTTCAAGTCAGTACGGCGAGTGAGACGATTGAGATTTTTCTGGGAACCTTCGATGATGATCATCAATCGGTGCTCTCACCGACGAGTGGCTTCTAAGACTAAGATTGTGAGAGGCCAGCCAGGAATCTGACTCACATGGACTCTTGCACAGTGTCTTTTCATGGTTTGTTGCTTTGAAGGTCAGACTCCCTCCTGAGAGCTCCCATTCAACTGCACCCAACGTCACAGACATGTCATGGTGCAAGCAAAAACCGACTGGCCACCAGTGACCCCTTGAGTGAATCGGACATATCTATAGTTTTATTTTCAACATTGAGTAATGAACCAGATAGTCTTTCACATGTCAAAATTGTTGAATTGGTTGAGTTGAACTTTGAATCCAACAATGGAAACATTCTTTAAAAGGAGCTCACTCAACCCACCACCACTGGTTGGCCCTTCAATGCCGCATGCCGCTCAGGTCACTCGACCCCCACCATCTTCCGCAGCTTTGAAGCTGCTGATCCACCAGGCTCATCCTGGGAAGCATGATCTGTGGGGGGGAAGACGAGGAGGCTTCCAAGAGTCCAGAAACATGGTACTTAATAAACGGTTTAATACGGCTTAGGCTAAAGAATTGAAAATCTTGTTTAATAAAGACTTGGATCCTGCGGTGCTGCTTCCTTTACTCTCTTGCCCCTTGACTTTGCTTTGGCTTTGGGCTTCACCTCAAGTGGTTCACCTTCCTCGGCTGTCTCACCCTTCTTCTTCCTCGGCTCCCTTGGCTTCTTTTCAGGTTGATGCTCCTCACCTTTCTTGCCCTTCGCTTTGGCGGATGCCCTGCCTTTAGCTTTGGCCTTCGCCTTTGCTTTTGCCTTTGGTTTAGGCGTGGGATCCATGATGCCCTCGACTTCTTCCACCTCCTCCTGGTCCTGGTCCTCATCATCCAGGAATTTGGGTGTCCCCTGATCATCATCATCCTCGAACACCACTTCTGGCAACTCTTCCTCTGGTTCCTTTTCCTCCTCCGGCTTATCAGCTTCTTCAACCTCTTCATCTTCCTCCAATTCCTCATCCTCCGGACCGTCTTGATCATCTTCATCATTGCCATCCTTGTTGTTCTTGTCCAGCTTCTTGAGATCAGCAATGACCTTCACGAGCTCGGGGGAGTGGAGGGGATCCCTGGCATCCTGCATAGAAGCAAAGACCAAAGATTCCAGCCGTGCTGTGAGTTCATCGACCTCAGATGTGATTACAATCACCTGACCTTGTGTTAATTTCAAATCAGTATGATGCAAACATCTCCCAAATCAAGGAGCATGCTTCTCTGTAAAACAGAGGCCGATATATGGCAAATTGCGGCGGATTGCAATCATCGCAAGGTTGCCACAGCCTAAATGTTAAATCAAGCACTTAAGAAACACTAACCCAGTCAGCCAGACATGATTTAAACAAATGTAGCTGAGGAGCCAGGGGTCAGATCGTTTATGGCACCGATGGCATGGGAAGCAACAAGTTCATCGTCAAGATTGTATGGACCAGCATGGACAAATACCGGCTCCACCGTTGTGTCACTCTTTCGACCTGTCACACCACCACTCAAAACATACAAAATTAAGAAACGCCTGAATGAACGAAGAATGGTTCAATCCTTTTCCCACCTCCACCGGTGTCACCTTCCGGGCAAGCACCGCCCACTGCAATGCGGTGCTTGTCATAGAGCAATCGTTTGTCCTTGACGCTCCTTGATCGGCTTGAAGTCCAGTGTGATTAAGTTTAAGATACACCATTGGCAATGTAGTTTACTAGTTGAATTGAGGAATGAGATGACAGAAAGCTAACGCTAAGCAGCAGTTTCCAGCACTTCTTGTCATCGAAGCTCGGCATGACGACACCATAAATGGTGTCACCACGGTTGGATCCTGGATAGTGGCACCTGTTGACAAGCATACTGGTAACATACTGGATCAAAAAGAACAGCACAAACTCTTCCATGTCAAGCCTGCTCTTTCTGATCACTTTGCAGCTGGTCGGGGCCATGAGCATGTAGATATTCTCGCACTGTTTCACGAGTGAAACCACACCTTTCACCCTCTCCTGAGACATGATTTGTGAAAAAATGGGTTTGGTGAAAAAGTGTGACAACACCCATGACTCAGGAAGTAAGTTGTGAGGCATTAAAAATATGGTCAAGGATCCTTTCTCTTCATCAGTGATGCCTCATCATACACCACTGTGAGAATCCTTTCAGTCTTTTGTATTGGCTGGTCATCGCGTCGAAGATTGATCAACTGGCTCCGGTTGCCTGAAAAACCAGTGGATGTAATGAACCTAATGGCTTAGCTGAAAAAAACATGTGGACCCTTCCTTGTCGCCCTCCATCATTCATGAAGAATACATCGGATTCATTCCATGTCGGTGCACCATCTGCATTTTCAGCAAACCGGGTTCGCCTTGGTTGTTAGGAGGTCATTTTGCATAATATAAGTGCCCTGCAAAAATGGTGAATGAGCCAGGGAACA